CTTTCGATGGACTTGGTACATGCACCAGTTTCAGAATCCTTGAAAGTGATCGAATGGTTAACCTTCATATGTTTATAGCTCTCATCTCCCAAACTGTCGTATGAGTCTCAACAATCGAAGATGATAGTAGTTTCTGGGAGGATCCAGTCCTTGATCATAGGAGTCAATGTGACTGCATCTCTAAAATGTTAACAACTTAACATCAGATTAATATACTAGAACTTTTAATTCGTACTAATTTATCTTTCAAAATAAAACAAACCTTTTCTCAACGGGATTCATCACAACACGGTCGGTTCCTCGTTCAAACATTCCAAGCACCCATTAGCCTTCGACTCGGTGATCTTTGTAATACTTCCTGCATCTTAATTTGGATCCATCAATTTCCACTTCAACTCCATGGCCACCTAACTTTCGCTTATTAAGAATGAAAGCATCGTAAATCACTTCCCGGCAAAAAGAAGTCCAATTCACAGCAACCTTTTGGGAGATCTCTGCTTGCAATTCTAAAGTACAAACAGTTAAACTACGCAAAACAAACGAATCAGACATGCAATTATTGGTTACCATTAATATTCAAACCAACGTTCACAACCCACAAATTCACGAAGACCAAGATTTGCCAAATAGATAAGTGAGATCGAGCGAAGAACTTTCCTTTGCGAAATCGTGCTTGATAAGTGCATCTGTTGTTCTTCCGCTTCTTTTTTTCTAATTTCGTCCCTCAGTTTCAAACCAATTGTGGCAACTCCATCGCATCAAGTCGAAGCGGACTAGAACATTCAAGGCATATATAGTTTGACTCCTCAGGAATTAGATTTCATTGTTGCAATTGTCGGACGAGAGCTTCCTTCTCTTTACACACATCGAGAGTTGATCGAATATTGAGCGGCATATCTTCAGGAATAATCATATATGAAAAAACTAAGAAAACTATTTTTAAGCAAAAGAAAAATTTGAATTAGGACGAAATTGTTGAAACGAAACAAAATTTGATTCAAAAATTAGGTAATGGGTCCAAACACTTTTGAAACTTTTCAATGGTCTAAAATGATGTCCTGATGAATGGCGGCCCAGTTTGTTTAGTTGTTCTATCGTTTTCTGCGCATAATAAAACCCTAGAAGTAAAAACGTTGCAAAAAGAAAGGTGTTTACGTAAAGTATACTTATGCCGAACTATCTAGTATTTGGTATAATATTTAGTGAAGATCTGATATGTTTGATAGAAGATCGAATACTTTTTTCATCTTTACTTATTGTTTTTGTTCATTTAGAGGTTTTTTTAGCATGGGTGTTAAAACAACAAGTCTCTCGTGATCGACAAGTATTGGTGAAACAAAGGCAATCATTTGATCATCAAATGTCAAGACGAAAATTGAAATTGGTGAAGATTGACTATGTATTTCGTCGAATAAGAATCAAGCTATTATGTTATGTTCTCTGAATTTTTTTAGGAATATGTATTTAAAGAAAAAACCAGTCAAAAAGATTCTTAATGCAAGTATATCAATAAGCCGATTTGATGCGTGTTTTAATTAATACAACAAATCATGATCATGATCAAGTTAAAGTTAAAATAGATATTACATATCAGCGATGGAATCAGTTCGATTTGGTTCGTAATCGTTTATACCTGCTATGGTTATTTTCGTTTTGTGGATTCTTCTTTTGTATATTAAAGAAAACAACATCAAAAAATATTCAGGTTACAATCAGATGTCGCTTGCTATAAAGATAGTTTTAATATTTTTCTGATTAGAAATTTGCATAGACGAATAACAAACCGCGTCGAGAAAAACAACGCTTGTTTATCGTACACTGTAAATTTTTTTCAAATTCTACTATTTGGAAAATCGATTTTAAATAAGCTGAAGTATTTTTGAGGTTCTATGGTTCATTCGACAAATTTTCAATACTTCAAAAATGCTTGATTTTCCAATTTACAGAGATTGAATTTGATTTTCTAAAGAAATCATTTTCTACAAAGTAAAACATCAACATTGATTTTAATAAAACTCGAAAATCAATGCTGGTTTGAAAAAATCATCTGAACAATGATCGCTATCGAGCCATTGTTAATTCACATATATAAGCCGGCCGATAATGTTTTTCATTCATTATATTCTTTAGCAGCTAACTCGTGAGTTGATAACTTGTATTTTTAAAGTTGCTCTGTAAGTCAGTTCATTTAGTATGTATTTAGATTCAAATTATTTGTTATTTGATGCATTTTTATGAATTACATGTCTATAATATTATTTAAATTCAAATTTAAATTATTTATTTATGTTATTTTGATGCATTTATGTGAATTAAATGTTTAAAATATTGTTCAATTTAAATTCAAATTATTTATTCATATTATTTGGTGCATTTATATGACTTAATTATTTAGAATATTATTTCAATTTCAATTAAAACTATTTGTTTGTTATTATATAAATTTTACGTTCATATATGAAAATAAAATTCGATTTTCGAGTTTTTAAAAAAAACTCGAATTGCTGAATAGAATCTGAAATTCTAGGAATGCCTATAGGAACTCACTTGCGATTTTCTAATTAGAAAATCAAATTTCTTATTCTGAATGTGTCAAATACCTCATTTTCAAAGAATTTAAAATTCGTCGATGAATTCATATGGGCATTCAGAGAATATCTTTCACTAAACTCTATAACTTATTTTCTAGTTTACAGTGTACAGATAGTTTAGTAAAACTGTGGCAAATCTAATTCAAGTCAGTTTGTCATTTACTACAAATTAAATTTGATTTCCATATAATTATCTAGGTGATTGAAAAGTGATTGTCCCCTCCGATTGTTTGCAACCATTTGTATTTGATATAGTACTGATATGTGATAGAAGAAGTAATCTGAAGAGAACATTCTATCAAGCCGAAATAAATAAGGCAGAAAAAAATACAGCATTTGAGGATTATTATATTGATTCAATTGAGAATGAATATAATCAAATTAATGGAAGTAACAGCGAAGAAGATGATAGCTCTTGCGGTGATAAAGAAATTAGTTAATAAAAGAATCATATCTGTTAGTTATTCCTCTACAACATCTAGCCGAAACAATGTCATCACTATTCTTGATCAATTACCATCAGATGCAAGACATGTTTTAGTAACTATTATCTAGTGCAAAAAGTTGGTGAAATATAAATTAGATAAATTCAATATCAAGACATTTTATTGCTAACTCAGAGAAAATAGAACATGTGAACATTTTTACAAAATTCTTACTAGATAGAATCTTTTCAGTGGGTACCATTTTAAGAATCCTTTAAGGGTTCTAGACTTTTCGACTAGAACTTTTTTTCTGTGAAACTTTTAGGAAAAAAGATTCATAAACTAATATCCATTGAATAGGTTCTGTATGATGTTTGTTTTTTTTACAGAAAACGAGTCAATAAAAAATGTAATTTTCTTTTAGGTCAATTTAAGTTAAGAACTCGAAGAACTAGAGGCTGCTGTTCTGATCCAAAATACAATTGTCAGATGGCTTTCTTTATATAACTTTATGGAAAGTGTCCAAAAATCCTTAAATCCATTACTTGAAATATTTAATGAAAAAAATTTTAACAAGAAAAGAATTAATAAGTTCATTTATGTTCGATAAAATAATTGATTTTTTTCAGACCATGGACTCATATAATGAAACGTAGTCAATCATCGCGAGTATCATCAATACATACGGTAGCACCAAGTATATTTGTAATAAATTCCTCATTAGAAATAAGGTCAAATGATTATAAATAAGAAAAAAGTTTATGATTTCAATTTTTCTTTATGTACTTTGCCTAAATAATTTTTTGTCACAGGCATCGGTATATTTCTGTCAACGAGCAAGACAAGTAATCCAAGAAATGATTTTTTTCGATACCATACATCTCATTGGAACTTTCTTCAATCCTAAAACACGAAGAATGAAGGATTCGTCAGCAAGACAAAAGGCAGAATGTATTGAATATGTAAAATCAGAAATGTAGCTTTTTGATGTTGATCAGCATGTTAAATCGTCTCCAAACCAAAAACCAGTTTCATTATCAACAAATATCTCATATATATATAGGACAGATTTTTATTTTAATCTTGAAATTGATGACGAAGATTATGCTGATCAACATGGTTCGTCAAAAGCTTCATCAAATACGCTCAAAATTGATTTGCATTTTAAGCATAGTGCAGGTAAAATGTCATCACTAACGAATTCTAGTCAAGAAAATGAAGAATATAATCGATTATCATTTTGGAAGATGAAACATGTTTCTTATCTTATTGTGGCGATGGTTGCTACTCGTGTTTTAACTGTACTAGCTACCAGGGCAGCTGTTGAACGCGAGTTCAGTTTTACTGGTAACATTATTACACAAAAGTACTCAAAATCATCATCAGATACAGTGAATGGTATTCTTTTCAATCATTCATACAATAACTTGCCAAGAGTCTTAATATATTTGAATTTTATTCTATTCGGTTCGGTCCGGTTCAAGGAAAACACCAACCGATTCCATTACTGCTACATATGTACATCATCAAGGTGTTATTGAAGAGCTGAAACCAACCAAAAAAATTGTCTAATTATATCCAACTTTATCAGTGACCAGTTCGGTAAGTCTTAGAGCATGTATTATTTTTGATCGACTAATAATTCATTGAAATATTGCTGAGTTTGAATCTTTCGTTCTGATCCATTTACTGAAGACAGTATTCAAGCATTAAAATCTAGTTATACAAAATTAGTCAAATATTCGAATCATCAAAGAAAAAAAAAAGTATTACTGAAGATAATACATTTTATTAATCTTTCTATAATAATCTCTTCACTTTCAAAGAGCAATCGTTTTCATATTAGACCATTTAAGTATAAAACGTTAAAAACACTCAGAAAAACTGTGATTAAATCAGAAAAGTAACCTATTGATTATTTTCAAATTATTATATAATTTTTATTGCTTAACTTTATCATTGTTTATTATAGAAAACAATTGATCCTTATTCAATGATGCAATAAACATATCCGGATAAATTATTTTGTGTATTTTTGCGTAGTTACTTGTTTTTGTTAAAAATTAACTTATTTTTTTATTTCTATTGTTATTCGTCTTTTAACTGTTTTTGTCTAATCGGATTGTAGTTATTTTTGGGCATTATGTATTTTGAAAATGAAATAGAATAAGTACATAAAAAACAAATAGCTATAAAATGGAAACTGATGTTCCAATGTTTCAAAAACGCTTCAATAGATAAGTTCAACGTGAGACTCAAGAAAAGCTGATAGAAATTCGTTTTCAATTTTCTAATTAGAAAATCAAATTTCTTATTTCTATTTTCTTGAGTGTTGTATTTTCAAGGAAGAATAAAATTCATAGATGAAGTGATATAAACTTTTCTATAGTCTTTTTTTTCTTTCGCTATAAAGTATTTTCAACCTTACAGCGTGGAGAACATTTTTGAACAGCCAGTTTTTAAAGGATAGTTAATTTCTCTCTTCATTGATTACGGTTTGAAATGCTAAGATAATGAGATAAATTATTATTAAAACTATCAAGAAAAATGCAAATTGTATCAATCAATTGCACAATAGCAATACCTTGTGAGGTAAGCAGTGAGAAAGAAAAAAAAACATGTGATGATGCAGCACATGTTTTTTACATGTGCATGCATTGTAAATTATTTTTAAATTCTATTTTTTTATAAATTAGACTTTAACAAAGCTACATTATTATGAAACTTTCATTATTGACTCTTCGAATTTAAAATATTCAAAAAATGGTCGATCTTCCAAAATATTGAAGGTCAACTTGATTGTTGAAAAAATTGATTTTTTAAAAATTGAAAAATCAATACTGGTTGCAAAGAAAATTCGAAAACCAATTTCAATTTGAAGAAAATTATTGAATTAATTACATGTTTCTTAAAACTATTTTAGAAGATCAATTAATCTTATTGATTACAAATTTCATATTGTGATCAAATGCAAAGATGTTTCACTTCCAAATTTAATGACTCTTGTACGTTTTACTGCACCATTTAAATGAAATAAATCACAGAGTGGATTTGTATATATAGTATATTATAATTTAGTTTTTATATACTATTAATATGAAAACATTAAAAACGCTATAAAAGAAACAAGAGTGTTCAAGATTAATATAATTGCTCTGTCAAAACAATGATGACGTCATTATTCATGGCTGTTAACGATCTCTTTTTGATATCAACAGAAGAATGACTTGACGCACCTCGATTTAAATATATAGTATAGAAAGATTTATAATTGTTGCATTACACTTGCCTGTTCTTCAAATATTTATAACCTTTGTTCTATCAAAAAGAAGACTCATATACATATTATGAAAGTGTCAATAATTCTTTTTATCCATTAGTTATTTATTTATTTATTTCATTCTATCTTCAATATTTCTACTTTTGCATGATTGTATTTAGTACATTGATCTTTTATTTTCCTGTTGTTCATTTCGATTTCATTTTTGTCGTCTTCGTCGTCGTATTATCGTGTTTGAATTCGATGGAATATCTTTTGTTCATATTTTTTTAGGATTATGAGCATTCTATCTATTGATAATTTATTTATTCAATTTTGCATTTTTGATGATCTTGTGAATGCCTGTGGATCGTATACAGTAATGTACAATTTGTTTTATAAATGTTGATGGGACTAATGGACGAAAATGTATCAAAAGCTAATGGTATTAATGATAAGTCTCGTACATGATGAACAACAAAGTTTAAAAAATGATGCAAAATGCGTTATCTAATGATTATTTATTCAGTTATGATAACTCTATACAATGTTAAATAGAATATTGATGATTTTTTGTTTTCTATTTATTATGTGAAGAAGAAGTATTATTATCTGTGGAAATTAAATACATTATTAATATTGAAAAATAATGGAGATTAATTGTTAATTGTTACGATACGATAGCATTTAAACAAAATTTATGGTTCTGTGAAGTTAGTCCATCAGATGTTTGATTGTTTATCGTTATTAAAGTTGAGTTCTTCGTCTACAGAAGAACTATTATCTATTAATACAGATAAAGTGTTTGTTGAAATAATAAGTAAGTGTTTATTCATTTATACAACTTACTGATTATGCCCTATTTTTCCATTTTAATACAATTGTGACATTAAATGAAAAACAATCTGATATGCTTATACAATAATTTCACTCATATCAATCCAATAAATTATTATATTTTAATCATTTCAAATGTGGATAGTGAGCATGATGATGCTGATTTGCGAGACAAACTGATATTGTCTCTATCGAATACAAATCATTCACAACTTACTACTGCATCAATTGATCAAATGATCCATCGACCGTTGGATAATTTTTTAATAAGTTCAACAATATCTCAATCGAGAAAAAGAATTTTCACTAAATTTTATGATTACAAACTTTGATAAAGCTTTTGAAAAGGTTGCTGAAATCCGATATAGAAAGAAACAACATGATGCAGATTTGATCGAATAATATTTAGCGCCACAAATAAATATTCACCACTTGATAAAATATTTGGTGAAGATGCGGTATGTTTGTTAGAAAATCAAACACTTTTTTCATCTTTATTTAATTTTTTTCTAATTTAGGGTTTGTTTAAAGTACTGGCAAAAATACGACACTCATATGCTAATCAAATGTTAGGACAGAAATTCGAAGTTCTAAAGGTGAACTTGATATCTCGTCGGGTAACAATTAAATATTTTCACGAATATTTATTTGAAAAAAAAAATTGACTCTTTGCAAATTATTTTATCATTCTCATCGCGTAAGCTTATCATTGTTTATTGTAGGAAATGCTAGTAAGTCCATCTTATGTATTTTTGTACAATTTTGTCTTAATTTTGTTAAAATTAAATAACTTGTATACGTGAAAATAAATTTAAAATATTAAAGAAAATTCAGTGGGTTCAAAAAAACATCTCAATAGGCCTTGACCTAACAATCTATGATGCAAAACAAATACCTTATTTTTAGCAATTCATGATTAGTTATTATAATAGCATTATTTCTTTTTTTTTGTTGATTACACTTTGAAATGGTTAGATAATGAGATAAATGATCATTCAAACTGTCAAGAATAATGAAAATTGCATCAATCAAACATACAATAGTAATACCTTGTGAGATAGGCAATAAGAAAGACAAAAAGTGTGATGATACAGCACTTTTTTCCTTGTGCATGAATATAGATGATATTAAAGGACAAAAGAATTATTTTATCTATAATATGATACAAATACAGGAATGAAATGGATGCCTTTATTTTAGGTTGATTCATTTATTTCTTTTAATGAGTTAATTTATTATTCTTTTCATGTGCTAATGCATTATCTTACACACAGTATATTAGGTTATAATAAATTTGATACAGATGTATGAATAGTTTATGTTGATGGTTCTTTGACTGATGATGGTGTCTATGAAATAGATACCGGAATATCACGTGTTATGAATTATGTGGAAAAATAAAAGATTTTAGCTGGTTTTTAAATTTTTATTTGATATTTTAAAATATAGCATGTTTATACAAATATAATTTACTTTTTTTAGTCATATAATGACATAGAAGGTCATATACAATCATTCAAGAGAGAGAGAGAGAAGAAAAAAAAAACAATTGAATAAGGATTATATTTTTACCCTTCGGATAGTTTAGGTTGTAAATATTGTGTTAAAGATGTTGATTTAAGCTAATTCATCAATAATACCGTTCTTGCTGATACGAAGCTAGACGAAATGATAAAAAAATTTGGAAGAAGATGTTTAGACTGTAAAATCTTATACTCACATAAAAATGAATTAGAGATTGCGTTTTTTTTAAATATGATGCTCAGTGATTTATAGATTTATATATATGTTTATATATCTAATATAATGACTAAAATATTTTGATCAATTCATTTCCAATAATGATTTATGTTCTAAATACAAATGTGGATGGCATCCGCAATCACCATCAGAAAAGCATTATTAAAGCAGAGACGGTACAAGAGTAAATATTGCTGTGTCATGGTTTATAGTTTGGCTGTCGTCTTCTTATTACACGTTTTCTTTTGATTATCAGCATTGCCGATACCTTCAATATATATAAAGATGAAAATAAAGTATTTTAAAGAAGCTCAAATGGATATTTTATTAAAGTTAAATCTTGAAATATTCGTACTGCAAAATAGTTAGGAAATGATTATATGTCATACAATATCTGGATTTAACTACCTGTTTATGAATTATGTTTCAGTTTGCTGGTATTCAAATGTCTAAATGATTTGCATAAATAACTATATGGATATAGCTGGTTCACATTTATGAACAGATTTGTCATTTACTAATTATTTAATCATAGCTAATAATAATCTGAAAGATGGATCGTGAGTAAAAGTAGGAAAGTTTATGACAAAAAGAAGGCACATATCAGACTACAGTAAAAGACACCATGTGCATTTATTCATCAACACTATCTTTTTGATTGATCGCTAAAAAGATCAAGCGCGATAAATTTTATACAAAGTCTACTGTTAGAAAATGGACTCTAAAAAAAAAGCTAAATCATTTTTGAAAGTTCCATTATTCATTGATCGAATTTCAAACAGTTAGAAAATATTTAATTCTCGAAACGATTCATTTTGAAAAAAATGAAAAAACAACAGTAGTCTTAGAAAATATTCAAAATTGTATTCCTATACTGAGGAATTCATCGTTAATAACATTTTATAATTTCTTGATATTCATATATCTATTCAACATGTTTTCAGATCATTCGTATTATTTTCTTATAGAAGACTTAAGAGTGAGTTCCTGAGAAAATCAGCCACTATTGTCCATCGACAATGAAGGTACCTCTCAGAATTCGCGGATTTTTTTGATATATTATAGAGGATAGTGAGTTTAGTATTTCTTGAAATTTTCAACTCGATCTGATTACTTTTTCCCACACAATCAATCAAAATACTAACGAAATTTTTAATAATTTTTAATAGTGATTTTTTACCAGTTTTTACTCTCTAAAATAAAAGGAGTTTTGCAGAACCCCTCGAAAAGGTTCTGTAGATTACTAAAAGCATCCAAATGTGTCCAAAGTCTCAAAAAAAGGGTAAAAAATTAGACAGAACCTTTAGGAGGTTCTGCG